ACCATGTGGGCCACCTCTGGGCCGGGGATCGAACTCCCACTGAAGCGGCTGAGATCAGCTTGCAGTGTGGCGTTCTAACCCTTTGCACCACCAGGGCGGGCCTACTGACTGATTCTTACTTGGCCTGCAGGAATGAACACATTCTTCCATGACAGGAGCCAGAAAAGGAGGTTTATAGGTCAATGGTTCAGACCTTGGGCACTGGAACCATAAACCGTATCTCGACTCTAGTCCTAACTTGTATGGACTGGTGGTGCAAACTCTGGACAAGTAACTTCCTGTCTCAGAGTCTCTGTTTTCTGCCACTGAACATGAATAACAGCACTATTTCACACACCATGAATGTGAACAGTGGGTACCAGGTATGGCACAGCTAAGTTTGCTCAATAAACGTGTGTTACAATGACCAGATGGAATTTCCACCTAAAAAAGATGAAATTTCGGGCCCTCCCTGGTGGTGCAGCAGGTTAAAGCACAGCACTAAGAAGCTAAAGCCACTTCCGCATGAGTTCGATTCCTGCCTGCCCCAGAGGTGACCACATGGCGTGGCAGACCTCTCCTGACCCGCCTGCTGCTCCCCTCTGCAGTGTACTTCGTTGATCTGCCTGTTCTGCTCCCTGCTCTGTCTCTGGTGAATCCTCTCACCCCCCGCATCTCTAGCTTGTACCCCAGTTCTGTATGAATAAATAAATGAATCTTTTTTAAAAAAAAGGTGAAATTTCTATTATTTAGCACTCACACTGAAGAGTAAGTGTCCCTGTTTATATATGAGGGACAGACAGTGGAGCGGAGTGGTAGTTCCTAGCTCAGGTGCACACAGTTAAAGTGAGGCAAAGAGGCACCTTGCTGTACGGACAACTATAGTCATTTTAGATGAGTATCCTTTCTACAAGTGTATTTTTCTTTCACCTTTTTAAAGAAGGAAGAGTGCTATGTGGTAGATGACATAAGGAAATCAAGTAAAGACCTACAGGTTTTAGTTTTGCTTTCAGTGTAGTAAAAGGTCTTTAACCATTAACTTTTTCCCCTATAAAATGGAATTTCATTAAGTGGTAGTTCATTTTGTGAAGCCAACCATATAAGCAGTTGATCAATGTTCAGGAATGAAATAATTTTTTTAAACTAACTCAGCTTAAAATGGAAATAACTCTCTCACATTTCCCTTCTTTTCTCCTCTTAATCCTTTAGGAACTCATAATAGTTTTTTTTTTCCTTCCACCTTTTACAAGCAAATTTATAGCAGCTGTAAAACTTTAAACTAAGTTAGAAGGACAGCTAGTTCAATCCTTTCGTTTTAAGGTAAAAAGTGAGGCCCAGAAGGGAACTAATGGAAACGAAATCCAAAGTGGGCCTGGAACCAAATGTCCTAACACCCCATTGGCCACTCTTTACACTACAAGGACATCAGTATTTTGGCCAGGCAGTCACCAGAGCGCCTGTGTCCACAGCAGAAATCGCTTGGCATGTCACTACCTCCTGCAGAGCCTTAACCCCCAGAATCCTAAGATGCCACCAGGCAGCCAGAGACCATGGCCCTGCCTCTCTAGAGGGGTACATGTAACCCCAAATTTCCAGCTTAATATGCTAAAACCTTTCCCCCTACTGCCACTGGTCTCTTGAGTTTTCAAAATGAACTAAGTCTTTCAGGAAAATAATGATTTTTTTGGAAAACATATCAATCCCACACATTTAAATGTGGTTGGAGAGTGTGAAATAAACATATGTTGTCTAAAATTTACAAATAAATGCAAGCAACATTAATTAATGGTGACAGATTAACCCAAAAGTGAGTGTGGCCGCTTTTAGGATCAGGGGCTGACTAGGAAGGGGTAGGAGAAAACTTTTTGTGGTGATAGAAATGTTCTATATCTTGATAGGGAGTGTGGTGAAACTAAGCCCTTAAGGTCTGTGCATTTCAGTGTATATAAATTATACCTTTTAAAAACAATCTAAACTGTTCATGTAGAAAAATCAAATTCAGTTCTTCAAGTTTTGATCCAAGCTGATGAAAGGCAGTGACTAAACAGATAGGGAACTTTCAAAATCATTGTAGCTAAAAGCCTTTCTGTTCAACTATTTATAAGGATAATATCCTCCAAGCCAGAACTCTGGTATATGGAAAGTAAGGAAAGAATTTTCTTTTGAGCTATTCTGGCTAATGGATTCAGCATTCAACATGAATGAGAGTATTATTTAAGAAAGGTACACTCCTAGAACATAGCTTCTGATTTGCATTGTCTCCTGCAGTACATTTGGAATTTATAATAGAATTCACTCTGATGTCTACAGAGAAGTAAGACCTTTATCAATAATATGTGTCTGTACATAATAGGAGGGAAGGCTAACAGTGCACTAACTTAGCTCACATTTTTATTTTCTGTATTACCTGCCTGTAAAAATCTGAATGTGTCTGACATTCTGCTCACTAACTACTGTATCTGATAATACCACATCTGATAAGTCTTGACAAAAACAAGAGTAGCATTGAAAAAGAGCCAAAAATTGGTTTCTCCCTACCACGTGATGTTGGCTCAAGAGCCACATTTACTAGAAGCAGAAGTCAGTTAAAGGTATCGCTCCTTCAGTGTTTATCTGCTTAAGACAAGCAGGAAAAGAAGGCAGGTTTAGAGTTCACATTATAGCTACAAAGGGAAGACAAATTCCTCACATCTTCCAACAAAGTACGTTCAAATGATAAACATTAGCAGACATTAGTAAAAGGCTGAGCAAAGTGGCTGGCGCACTGATAAAAGGTAGTTATTTAAGAAAACTGGGTCTTGCTACTAACGAAGGACCATGTCATCGGAGAAAACTTTCCCTCAGTGATGGTTCCACATACCAAATCTGGCTTCACTCGGCAAATCAGGGGGAAAGACAGCCACGTGGAGTACAAGGTGGTGAGCACAGTGGACATCCAGGGCTGCTTAACCTCACGGCTTCTCGGAATGCGGTGAATGAAGTATTTGGAAAACTAGAAAAAAAATCCACATAAGGCCACTGGTACCAAAGTAAAACACAGTAACAGTTACCGTTTGTACACATAGGAAATACCTTCTTAATTATTTAAAATTTTCATTCCAACTACTTTCATATTAAGTTACAAAGCCCTTTTCATACTTTATGTAACACACATCACCAGCTGTCACAGAAAAATTCCAAATATGATGGAGAAGTGTTCAAATCAATTTTCACAAGTAATTGCAGGAAATTTTCTATAACATTTTTTAAGCAAGGGACTTAACTTGCTGGGGTACAGAGTTCTTACAAATCAGTATATATGACCTGGGATCAATAGGGAAAGAAGAGGAAAAGACAATTCCAAATAGGAAAAACAAAGAGAGTCAATGGACATAGGAAAGCATAGTTAACAATTCAACACAATGGGTAACCCTGAGTCATTTTCCCTTCCTAATTGACAAAGATTATGGATACACGGTATGGTTGAGAGACAGGAAAAGAAACATTTATATTCCAAGTGCAGATACATTGGTACAACTCTTTGTGAGGGCAATCTGGAAATATCTACCAGATTATAAATGTGTCTACACTTGATTAAGCAAATCTGCTTCCAGAAATACATCTGTAGATTTACCTACTTGTTTATACACAGCATCACTGTATTTGTGGAAACTGGAACTAGCCCAAATAACCTTCATTGGAAAATGAAGTCTATGTAGTAAAATTGATGGGGATAGATGAACAAATGACATAGATTTATGAAACTTAAGTGACGAAGTTCCAAAATAAATTGTTCAAGTGATTATACAAGGTGTAGGACAGTATATTTACTATAATCACACATAGGTGTTTATTTGTATGTGTGTACAATGTGTATACACACACATTGGCATTTGCACAGAACAAACCTGGAACTATTTACTACAAATTGCAATGGGTATTAGAGGTAGTATTAGAGGATTATTTCCCTGTTCTGAGTCACAGATATTCTATGTTTGAAAACTGGAACAGACATGTATTTTCACTTTTATAGTCAGAAATCAATTATTTCTGCCTTGAATCAAAGGTCCAGGTGTGTTTGTTCTCCTTTGTTCTGTAACAGATTACCCCAAAACTTAGCAACTTCAAAAAATAACTGTTTTTGTTTCTCACAACTTCTGGGGACATCAGGCACCTAGGAGTGTTTGCTGAGTTACTCTGGCTTGACGTTTCTCATGAAATTGGAGTTAAGTTGTTGGCGGGAGCTGCAGTCCCCTGAGGGGTTGACTAGGGCTGGAAGATTCATTTCCAAGGTGGCTTGCTTTCAAGGCTAGCAATTTTGTGCTGGTGGTTGGTAGATCTTCCTTCTTTGCCACTGACCTTTCTGTGGTATCTTCTTTCACAATAGCTAGCTACCAAAAGCAGTGATTTAAGAGAGGGCAAGGCAAAGCCACAGTGTCTTTTATGAGCTGATGTCACAATCATCACAAGTCACTCTTTGTCATTTCTGCAAAATCCTACATAGGGGAACTTATTTGATATGTAAGGGATGACACAGGGCTTGATACCAGGTAAGATTCCCTGGGGATTCCTTAGAACCTGGTTACCACACAGTTAAGTCAGAGAGTAAAAGGCTAACGAATGCCTTCCATCTCCAGGCCCCTTTCACCTTGAGCAACAGTAAGTCTCTTGAGAAGAGTATAAAAGCCTCTTCTTGCACCTCTGGGTGGCATATACTTACCAGTCCTAAGTTGTTTTTTTTTTTTTTTTACATTTAGAAAAAAGGTGAACATTATATTTGAAGATTATGCTTGAGCCAGGAGCATAAAATGAAAATGGACTGCACATATACGACCACTCTATTTCCACATAATAATAAAGAATATTTCCTCTTTCGTCCATGCTATCCCAGAGAGGAGAAATTTGGGCTCAATATGTTTACACTAGCTTTATTTTTTAATGATTTATTAAATCAATATTGTTTTCCTTCCAAAGGATTAAGGTACTAACTGTTACACTGGAAAATATACTGAGTGACCATACAAAGAGCAATAGCCATATGGAGATGAACTTGTAAGGCATTTTATTTCAGATTTGTGCTTCTGAATTTGCAGAGGTCATTCATTGAAAAATACATCACAGGCATAATAAGACCATAAAATCAAACTTCTTAACAGAAACCTTTTGGAGCAGAACTGTTTTAATCAATAAAATTATGCATTCACTGTATACTATCCCTCTTTGAAGTTTGGGGATATAAACGTGTTAATATTTCTGCAGCAAAACATGAATATTCACAGTAAGTGGGAAACAGATTATCAGTTTCATGCCAATTCAAATCAGGCTTTGCTGCAAATAAATTTGGAATTTTTAGAGATTATGGACTTGTACACAAAATAACATTTGAATCTGATACTATGTTATATCATTGTTTTTACTGCGGTTAAAACAAAATATATAGCCAAGTAGAGTATTATTATGGAAGTTTTTCAATGCTACTTCTAAGTTATAAGACTTGATCTCAGCATCTATATGTTCTTCAAAAAAGCTGGGGTACTTAACATTTCCCTTGAATCTCTTTAAAGATGTGAGCATATAACTTTGTGAAGGAGCAATGAATAATATTTCTGCACACTTTTATGGTGTCTTGAGGAATGTAAAGGTCACCAACTCTACTCCAGCTCCAGAAATCCAGCTTCTCTGATTACGTCTTCGCTCCAAGTAGGCACACCCAAGGGCTGTGCAAGTGATTGGGCTGCAGCTAGTTTTCTTAGTCCTTGCATGCTTTTCAGAAGAGTTTATATCTCACCCCAAGGAGTGGCCTGAAGGAGCAGAGGAAATGGGTTTAGGAAGTCCCCAGCTCATTGTTAGGAGGATGGAAACTAACAAGGGCATTTTCAGGGTCAAACCATGAAGGACTTCCAAGGTAAAAACTGAAAAAGCAGGCCTGAGTGTGAGGAAACAGGCCAGTGACAAGAGTGACGACCTCTCTGACTTCTCAAAGTACCACAGAAGGAGCCCACTTCAGCCGCTAAGCCTGGCGGGGAGGGCATGAGTCTTGGTTCTACTTGTAGGGTGGAGCTAAGTGGGCCATGACCACATCCTGCTGTGGCCAATCCCCCAGTTTGCAGAAGACATTTTCAGTTTATGCCCACAGTCCCAGCATAATGTTTAACAGTGCCCCTTCTGCTTTTAGAAGTGCCCTGTTTTCAATGCTAAAGTATATGGCTGCTCACTGGGGAGA